AGAAGGACTCACTTATCTCTGAGGAATGAGAGACCCATAGGAGAGGACGGCTTGGCAGGACCTGTCCTCTGGTTGTTGGTTTGAGCCCTACAAATGCCAGTAGGTTTAACTTGTCTCCTTGGTGTTTGGGGTCCATGTTCTTCCATTCCAGAGCCCCCGTGAGGCTACGCAGGAGTGGATGTGAGGGGACCACGGAGTCCAAGCTGGCCCCCACTTCCTTCTCTCCACTGACCACCTCCAATCGGCCGCCCAGTCCTCTGGACCCCACTTCCTACTGTGCTAGGACTGCCCTCTGCACCTGTGCCACTAGCCCAAGGCACCACCGCGTCTTGCCTGCACCGTAATGATCTCGCAGTGCATCCATCCAATCCCTATCCCCCGGCCCTGGTTCATTCCCCACAAGGAGCGAATCATCTCTTAAACATGCAGATCAGACCCTGTCTCTCCCAGCTTCTCGGGTTTCAGCTTCAGTGACGAGCTGTGCCTTCCTGGGCTATGCTCCCAGATCCCTCCACTGGCCCACGGAGCCTGCTCTCTACCCACGACTTCCGCCACTCTTCCACGCTGGGATTGTTCTAACCGCCCCACTTGCCTTCCATCTCCCGAGCAGGCGAATGTGCTTCTGCCTGAGGGTCTGCCACCTGCTGTCCCCTCTCCCTGGCATGCTCTCCCGCCCCTTTCCTGGGCTCATTCCTACTCATCCCTGGGACCCAGCCTCAAGGTAAGGGCCTGCTCCTCATGCTCCGTGCTGGCCCTGCTCCCCACTCCCGATAACAGGCAGGTTTTTTTGTCTTCACGGTTTCAACAGAACACACTTCGTTTGTGATCCCGTCATTATTTTTGTAACTTGTTTATCTTTTGTCTTCCCCACTGGCTGTAAGGCTGGGTTCATGTACCTTCTGGCCATCGCTGTCTCCCCGACATCAAGCACAGAGCCCGGCCTGTGGTAGTGCTGGCTCACCTGGAGAGGAAATCTGAATCCGCCCTCTGGCTTCATCAAGTCTCTGAATCGTCTCTGGCAGAGTTCACCTGGGACCTCCTCATGGCTAAGCTGTGTTTCTCTTCAGCCTTAAGAGTTGACACTCTGCGACATTTAAAATCGCTGCCAGCCCCCTGCTTCTTTGAACATTCTTCCACTTCCTTGACTTTTGATTCGGAGACATTTCTTCCTTTGTTCTCTTCTATCCGTCTAGGCACTGCTTCTCAGCCTCCCCGCTGACTTGCTTAGTGGCCCTTAAGTGGGAGCCTCCTGCAGGATCCCACCCTCACTCCTCCCTGCCTCCTGGACGGTCTGTGGGCTAACTTCATTACAGCTCTGGAATCACGTAGCATATTTATGCTGTGAAATCCCAAGCCCGTATGTTCAGCCCTGACCCCACTCCTGGGCACCTGACCTCTCCCACCGCATCCACCACGCTTATGTCCCATGGAGCACCTGAGTCTTTTTTATTTTTTAAGATTTCTTTTGCCATAGGGTACATGTGCTGGTCAGAGAGAGACAGAGACAGAGAGAGGGAAAGTGAGAAATCATCCCCCCAAGGGGGTTGGCCAAGCCTCAGTCTCTTCTCCTCCATTCTCCTTTTGGGATTTTGGGCAGGCATGCATACATGCCCAGCATGATTTTCAAGGCACCAGATCTAGGACTTTAAGTGTGGTGGGCCACGTGCGAGTTCAGCTCCTTACCTACCACGCCACCTGCCGGCCCTGGATCCGAGTCTTAACATTTCCCAACTGGAGCTAACTACTATCCTCTCCAAACCTGTTCCTCCTGTAGCATTTCCGGTCTGGCTCAATAGCTTCGTTGTGTCCCTAACCTCTGAGTCATCTTAGACACCATGGCCAGTTCAGTGTCCGTGTTACCAGAGTCTGTCTCTTGGATCTATCCTAGCTCTCCTCTCTCTGCGTGCCACCATCACAGTGAGGCCCCTGCGATTGCCTTGGCCTCTTAACTGCCCCCTCCCCAGCCCTCTCCCCACCCGCCCATGACTAGCACTGATGCAGAGATCTCATCCCAAAGAACAGACCTGGTTGTGCCACTTGCCGGCTCCCCCCCAGCCTTCTCCTGCCCGCACAGTAAAACCTGCCCTCCTTAGGCCAGCGTGCGAGATTCCTCACAGCCCGCCCCAGCGCCCACGCTCCTCTGAGCCCACTTTCCTTCTCGTGACGTGCTTACACTGCTGAGCTGGGCTTCTTAGTGTGAGCAGCAGCAGTCCCGAGGAAGCTTGCTGAGCGTGACGGGCTGGGTTTCACCTCAGAGGTCTGACTCGGGAGGTCTGTGATCTAAACTGGTAAGGAGTCCCCAGTGCTGCTGTTGCTGCCGTTCCGGTGACACTGTGAGTGTGGGCCCTGGAGGTCCACTCCCTGGCCTCAGCTCCCGCCCTGCCTCCCACCTCCTCTGTCACCTAACCTCTGGGCTCCGTCTCCCTGCCCAGAGTGAGGCAGCTACTGCAAGTTCCCTCCTAGGCTTTGGGGGTGGCTTCAGTGAGTTCATGCTCGACACTTCTAAGCAGTGCTTGGGTCGGGGCCAGCAGGTGCCATTGGCCAACTGTGATTCGAATCCCAGACCTGATGGCTTAAAACTCAAGCGGGGTGTGTGTGCGTGCATGCCCCAAATGCCAAGAGGAGAGTGAAGGAGAAAGGATTAGGCGTGGTCATCCTTCCAGGGAGGGATTTCTCACGTTCCTTCTCTCCGTTTCTCTCTTCGGCAAGGACACGCACCCTTGGCAAAACACAGACAGTGCTTGATCCTTGTACGCACTCAGGGTGTGTTACCTGCTACTATTGTTTAGTGATATTTTCCTCATTCACATCCTTGCACGGAATGTCTTCCTCCGTTTTCTACTCTCCCCTCAAGAACACGCTTATTTCCTGAGGCTCTCCGCCGTCCCTGCTGGGCCCTCCGCGCCCTCTCCCGTGTGCGGGCCCAGCCGCGTGCCCAGCTGTCGCGGGGCGGCATTGCCCTCGTCTGGCCAGGAGTGCTCTCGCCCGCTGTGCTCCTGGCACTTCGCGTTGTCCAGCCCCAGCGGTCTGACCGTCTGACTGACAAGTAGGACCGTGTGAACGGGAGGTGTACGACAGACTCAGAGCGCCTTACGGTGCGGGGTGACCCTCGCAGCCCAGCGAGCTAACACGTTGCATTGTCTGCTGTCCGTGCCGCGCTGTGCAGGCCGCAGGAGCCACTCCCTAGCAGACCTCAAGGACGCAGCGCCCAGGCTTTGCTGTAGTCACCAACTGCACGTCGGGGCCTCGGGACTGCTCGTCTGATAAGGTAGCGCTGTACCCTGGACCCACTCTCCGTTTCCCTCCCTGCCCAGTCTCCGTTCCTACAAGCCGAACTCTCTGGTCCCGGCCCGAGGGGCCTCACCCGGCCTGGCCTCACTCTGACGTCTGTCCTACGAGCTGAACTCTCTGGTCCCGACCCGAGGGGGCTCACCCGGCCCAGCCTCACTCTGACGTCTGTCCCTCAGCTTGCGTCCTCCAGGTTCCCCAGGCTGCCCCTGGTGGCATGTGGCCCTCTTTTGTGTCTGAAGAATATTCTGCAGCCAGGGTGTGTGTGTGTGCATGCAGATCACTGTCTTTACCCGTTCTTCTGTCAATGGACCCTTTTTTTAAAGAGAGAGCTTTTGCTGTAGGGCATGTGTGCTCACCAGAGAGACAGACACAGAGAGAAATCACCCCCCCAGGGGGGATGGCCACACTACAATCCCTTCTCCTCCATTTTCCTCTCAGGATTTTGGGCACGCACACACATATGCCTGGCCCGAGTTTTAAGCCGTCAGGTCTGGGACTTGAACCATGGTCAACTACATGGAAGTCCAGCAATATAACCATTACATCATCTGCTGGTCCACCCAATGGAACGTTTTTTAAAATGAATTATTTATTTCATTTTATTTATCTTTTTTTGGGAGAGATTTTCACTATAGGGTGCGTGCGCTCACCAGACAGACAGAGAGAGACAGAGAGACAGAAAGCGAGAAAGCACCCCCCAGGGGGGATGGCCACACTACAATCCCTTCTCCTCCATTTTCCTCTCAGGATGTTGGGCCCGCACACACATATGCCTGGCCCGAGTTTTAAGCCGTCAGGTCTGGGACTTGAACTATGGTCAACTACATGGAAGTCCAGCAATATAACCATTACATCATCTGCTGGTCCACCCAATGGAACGTTTTTAAAAATGAATTATTTATTTCATTTTATTTATCTTTTTTTGGGAGAGATTTTCACTATAGGGTGCGTGCGCTCACCAGACAGACAGAGAGAGACAGAGAGGCAAAGTGAGAAAGCAAGCCACCAGGTCCAGGACTTAAACCGCAGTCGGCCATGTGGGAGCCCAGCACCTCAACCACCACACCACCTGCTGACCACATTATCTTTTTTTTTTTTAATTTACCATAGGGTACGTGTACTCACCAGAGAGAGACAGAGACAGATAGAGAACGCAAGAAAGCAAGTCACCAGGTCCAGGACTCGAACCGTGGTCAGCCATGTGGGAGTCCCACGCCCTAACCACTATGCCACTTGCTGGCCTCTTTCCATGGACCCTTAGGCTATTTTACTTGTTGTGAATAAAGATTTAGGAAATGTAAGCGTGCAGGAGATGGGGCCAGCAGGCAGCATGTGTGGTGCTGGCCTCCCACATAACCAGCCGTGGTTCAAGTCCTCGACCCAGTGGCTTGAAAATCACAGTGGGTGTGTGTGTGTGCATGCCCAAAATGCCAGGAGAGTGGAAGAAAAGGGATTGTGGCGTGGCCATCCCTCCTGGGGATGATTTCTCACTTTCCCTCTCACTGTTTCTCTGTCTCTCCAGTGAACACATGCACCTTGTGGCAAAAACCTAAAATACATAAATAAGTAATGCAGGAGGCTCGTCAAGTTACAGATTGTATTTCCTTCGGGTCTAAACCCAGACTGCTGGTTTATTTGGTAGTTGTAATCCTGGCTTTTTGAGGACCCTCAATACTGTTTCCAAGACTTCGTTTCTGAGTGCTCAGAACCCAGCAGTGTGTCTGGTACCTCCGAAGGAGCTCCGGAATGTTTCCTAATGAAATGACGGGGTTGGCGTGTGCTGTAGAATTCATTGCTGTTTTGAAACTTGGTAAAACGTGTCCAGTCTGGGGACAGGACTGAGTGCGAGGAGAGGGAGTGAGTGCGAGCATGCCCATGCGTCCCCCGTGTGTGGGAATGCAGTGGCCGGGGGATGGGGGATGTCATTCCGGAATATGGTCCTGGCCTCAGGAGCCGCCGAGGGCTCACACTTAGGGAAACTGTAGCGCGGTTGGCACAAAAACCCAAGCCAATGGGTTTAAATAGCGATATTTATTTTGTAGATGAGAAGCCTCAAGGAGGGCCACACCAGAGCTGTCTAGTCCACTGTTGGGGGGTACCCCAAGTGCCCAGGCTCGCTCTTCCTGCTCTGCCGTAATGCAGCCGCAGAAGCCCTGGTCCGGCAGAGGAGAGAACCAGGAAAGCGCTTCCAGAAGCACCCCGACGAGCCCCTCTCGCGTTTCCGTGACCAGCTGTGGGTCAGAGGCCGATGGCCCGCCTGGCCACTGGCGAGTGTGTGGCCGGTTTGCTCTGAGCTGGGGGCGGGTCACTGCCCAAGGAGGTGAACAGAATCGGAATTCTGCTCGAGAGCAGCGAGGGACGAGAGCATGCTGCTTAGACAGGTGACGGCACCTGCCTGGAAGCCTGGCCCAGACCCCAGGATGAAGGCTCAGTGAGGCCCTTTCCCTCCTCACTACAGCGAATTGCTTCAAGTCCAAGTGAGGAACCCTTTCCTCTTCTTCGTCCACAGGTATGCCCTGACCACAGCGGCCCTGCAGGAGCTTGGCGCAGAGCCACTGGGCTGCCCTTCAAGGGTGGGGCCCCAGCGACATGCCACTCTTCCTGCACGAGCTCAGCGGGGCCACGTGTCTGCGGACGGGACCCTGAGGGAGCCCGACACCAGAGCCTGGACCCAGAGGAGGCCCGGGAGGGTTCATCCAGGTATGTAACTGGACAACAGACGTGTCCGTGGTAGGAACCGGAGGTTCCTGGGTACAGGGCACCCTGGGACAGCCGCCTGTGAACACATGCTCCGAGGGGTGATGAGGAAACGGCATCTCTGCAACGGCACTCTGACTTTCTGCATGCCTGCCCCGCTCAAGCCCTTCTCAGCTCACCAGCGTGGTTGCCCAGACCACCTGGGCCGCATACCTCTGTCTGGCAGGTTCCGTGACAGCTGCAGAGTAGGCTCAGGGCCCTGCCAGGGTCTGGCTGTCAGCCAGAAGTGCGGAGAAGGAACGGCTGGGGGAGACTTGGCCTGAGGGTAGCAGATAAGCCATGAGTGGCCATGGGTGTCCACAGGGGGCAGGACGTTTGGGTTCCATGCCAGGAGCAGTGGTGACCGCTTCTAGCAGTCGTCCAGTTGCCTGAGCTCATAAGGATGTCCTGCGAACCCACCGGCTGGCAGGCACGTACACGTACCGGAGCAGCGGAAGCGAGACGCGGCGGGAGGCCGAGGGCGGCCGATAGCGCAGTGTTCTGGGATTCAGTGGCCTGGCTTCTGTGTGGGCTCTGCGGTGCGATGATGCTGATTTGGGCATGTTGTGATTTTTAAAAATGTCTTTCATGATCTTTAATTGGATATCAACTCCCACTTCCGGTGGTTTGTCAGAAGTCCTTGACTTGGGGACCAGCAGTTAGCGTAATGGCTATGTCGCTGGACTCCCATGTAGTCGACCGCGGTTTGTGTCCCGGACCCGGTGTCTTAAACTCATGCCGGGCGCGTGTGCGTGCGTGCCCAAGATCCCGAGAGGAGAATGGAGGAGAAGGGATTGCGGCGTGACCATCCCCCCTGGGGGGTGATTTCTCGCTTTCTATCTCTCTGTCTCTTTCTCTGTCTTTCTGGCGAGCACATGGGTGCCCTCTAGCAACCCCCCCCCCAAAAAAAATAAGTCAAATTACTGTAGAAAAATATCCAATGAAACCTTATTCTTGTCTCTGCCTGCCTGTCCTGTACCCTCCTCAGGAGCCACTTTAAAAAAAAATCGTCAGAGGGTATGACACTTGCTGGAGACAGAAAGAAGGAGAGCGAGAAAGCGTCCCCTTCACCCTTCCTTGTTTAAGTTTTGGGCACACAGGCACGTGCACCTGGCATGTTTGTTTTAAGCCACCAGGTCTAGGACTCGAACCGCATTCAGCCGTGTGGGCTCCAGCCACTTTAACCCCAATGCCATGGGCTGGCCTGGAACCACTTTCAGTCACTTCTCACCCATCCTTCTAGAGGTTCGTTGTGTCAGTGTGAGTCAGTACAAATGTGTATCCTGCCTTCGTTCCTTTCCTTATCACGTAACTAGCAGTATACACGCTTGTGCTAATCTTGGGTTTTCCACTTAATTGATCTTGTCAGCCTTTTCCTATGTGTGCGTTGAGAGCTTCCTCTTTCTTTCATACAGGGGCCTGGAGGTGCCATTATTTATTTTAATCACAATAAAGGGTGTGTATGTATACATACGCACACGGGAGAGAGACAGAGACAGAGAGACAGGGTCTCATCATGCCACGATCTGCTACCCCCACCTTCCAGCCCCTCAGGGTCCCGGCTCCTGAGTGCGCTCAGCTCCCAGCACTGCAGCCCGGCTTGCTGCTGAGTGAGCACCATGCTGGGCCCGTAATTTCGTAAACGTTCCTCGCTGGTGCACACAGTTGTTTTCAGTCGTTTGCTGTTTATTTCAAGGAATGCCACAGTGAATAAGCCTACCATTTGCATTGTCCCTGAACATGTGTAACATTTAAAAATTCTGAAATATCTTGGAATTATCAAAAGGATGAAGACCAGACTGGGTTCTGATGACCACACGTCGCCAGCTGGTTGGACTGGGTAGCGCCGTTCCCTTCCGGCGGGTCCCTCCCACTCTGCCTCACCTCTTTCACTCACCGCTCACTGTCCACCTGCTGTGAAGCCTGAGTGTTGTCTGCCGCTTAGCATCACAGCTACGTTGTTTTTCTTCCAGGAGAGTAAGGAGGGAGGGAAATCGTTCTTGTCCTTGTGTCTCTTCAAAGTGGAGAAGGAAAGCCGAGGAGCAGAGAACATCTTTTTGAGCAGGAAGGAGATGGCGGGTCTCTGTAAGAATCCGATCCTGCTTCCATGCACCTGACTACCCGGCCCACTGTTACTTGTCCGGACCTTGAATTTGCGGGCTCTGCCTTGTTACGTACGACCTTTCTGTAATCTCAAAAGCAGGAGGGGGACCAGCAGTTAGCGTAATGGCTATGTCACTAGACTCCCATGTAGTCGACCGCAGTTTGAGTCCCGGACCTGGTAGCTTAAACTCATGCCGGGTGCCTGTGCGTGCGTGCCCAAGATCCCGAGAGGAGAATGGAGGAGAAGGGATTGCAGTGTGGCCAT